TTTTTAATTACTTCACTTTCTACAAGCTGGACTCTGCTTTTGTAAAACAATTTGTCCACGCTAAAAAGGCCATTACAGTCTCTCTAGTCCTGACTTCAAAGCTTTCTCTTGTTCCTACTAGTAAACACACACATTACCCATCACTTAAGGAAACTACGTGTATCAGCTGTGGCTTCATTTTTACTCTGACACGTTCCTCTAACATTTCCACACTATTTTCCCAAGAAGCTCCTCCATCGTTCCTAAGTCTTCTAGGTTTAGACCTGCTGGCTTCACTTTCATGAATTTATGATTTAAATTTTTTCTTCTATTCACAATTTCTATAGCAACTGATTTCTTTAGAAATGTTCTCATAAAATCCAAAGATATCCTATCTCTTTTAACTGAGAACATTTTCTTCCTGGCTCCTGGCTTTGAATTAGCCCAGTTCTGGTCATTGCAACCATTTGAGGAGTGAACCAAGGTATCAAAGATTTCTCTGTCTCTCCCTTAAAAATCTGCCTATCAAAACAAAACAAAACGCAGGCTACTGATTTTTTTTTAATCAACTGTAATGAATTTTGGTGAGTTTATAAGGGATTTTTCACTTACTTATTTAACAAGTGTTTGTTGAGTATATGAAGAACTATGCTTAAAGCTGTGATTCAGGTAAATAAAAAACTCAAAACTCCTCTTCTGGAGGAGTTTAATTGTTAAATAACAATAAATGGGGGGATATAATCAAACACTGAAACCAAAAAAGCACTATTATTATTTTTGGTTGATGTAAGAGGAAGATGAAATTTTAATTGGGCTCTGATATATTTAGGATTTGACAAATTGAAAAATTAAAAACATTAGTCCAGCCACGGTTTCAGACAGAGAGGGCAGTATGAAAATTTCCATAAAAGAAAATTGTGGAATGTTTGGAGGGACCATGAGAACAGTTTGGTTGGGGGAGAGTAAATTAAGAGTAAAAAACAAGGAAAGCTAAAAAAAAAAATCCTTGGGATCCTGCACCCGTGTGGGAGACCCAGAAGAAGCTCCAGGCTCCTGGCGTTGGATCAGTTCAGCTCTGACTGTTGCAGCCACTTGGGGAGTGAATCAGCAGATCTCCTAGGTCTCCCAGAATGATGCTGGATTCCAAGGCTTTGGGTCATCCTTCTCTCCTTTACCCAGGCAATAAGCAGGGAGCTGGATTAGAAATGCAGCAACCAGGATACAAATGAGCGCCCATATGGGATGCCAGCACTTGCAAGTAAAGGATTAGCCAGTTGAGCCATCACATTCCTCTTCCTAAACTGACAAGACACGTGCTAAATCCCTTAAGACCTCCTTTAGAGTCACCTTTCAGTTTCCTGGATAAAGACAGCAGACTGAATCACTTCTTCACCTGCTCCTGCAGCATTTCTTTCAAAATCCTGGACACAAGTCAAATTCATAGTAAAATGGTGACTCCCAGAGGTAGAGAAGTTAAACAGAGAGTATTGATGGTGGTAATGGTAGTACACAAAGCAAATGATTATAAGGTTCTTCCAAGCCTAATTCCCCTCTTTTGGCTCTCAGTTCAAATATCACATTCATAGGAAAGTCCTGATTTCCAGGCCTGAACAGGTTTCATTGCTGTTGTTTTAAGATTTATTTTTATTGCAAAGTCAGATTTATAGAGAGAAAGAGAGATGGAGAGAAAGACCTTCCATCTGCTGATTCACTCCCCAAGTGGACCCAAAGCCAGGAGCCAGGAGCTTCTTCTGAGTCTCCCACATAGGTGCAGGGTCCCAAGGCTTTGGACCATCCTCGAATGCTTCCTGAGGTCACAAGCAGCAAACTGGAAGGGAAGTGGAGCAGCCTAGATACAAACTGACACCCATATGGGATGTCAACGCTTGCAGGCAGGCCTCTAGTAGATTAGTCTGTGGAGCCACTAGGCCGACCAGATTTAAGTATTCTTGCTGTAACTTCTGAAGTACTTCATAGTTTTCTTATGGGGTGACTCTTATGACTGTAGTTAACTATGCGGTATATTTGCTAGGGTTATCAACAACAGACTGAATGGGTCAAACAGAAACGTCTTATCTCACATTTCTGCAAAGCCAGACATTTAATAACAACGTTTGCTAAGTTTGGTTTCTTATAAAGTCCCTTCCTTATGTACACACATAATTTGTATCTGCAGATAACAATTTTTTCTTTCTGTAAAGAAACTAGTCATACTGCATTAGGACCCACTCTAACTGCTGCATTTTTAACTTTGTCACTTTTAAAAGGCCCTACCTACCAGTCACTGTTTGAGGTACTCGGAATTAGGACTTTCAACACATGAATTTTGGGGGAACAGAAGCCAACCCATGTCATGTTAAGCCCTAGTCTTCCTACTTGGTCAACTAACTTTGTCTTTTTCTCATTTTAAGAACCTTCACAATTGCTGTTCACTCTTCTTAGCACATTAACTCTTCATAAAACTTGTTTTTCTCAATTTTCAAGTGTTAATAATGTCATCTGATAAAGGTCATTTCAGACTACCTTATTTGAAGTAGACCTAAAAGTCACTCTATCAGATCACTATATACTTTTATTCATGGTACTCACCACTTACTTATTTCCGGACTGTGAGCTCCAGGAAAGGAATTCATGGTTTTTTTTTTTATGCATTAACATATACTAGTTTCACTGTACTGTGGAAGAGCGAACGTTTCTGCAACCATTGTACATACTGTAACTTCACATACTCCATTAAAAGAATAAAACCTGCAGGGCCTTCAGTATCTAAAATGCTTTTTGAATCTCAGCTGTACTGTTTTACTCGCTGGGCAAACTCCAGCAAACCCTTTCTCTCTAGGTCTCAGTGTTCCTAAAGATATCACATTAGCTCCATCAAAGTACTAAATAAAGTACAGGTGAGGCATTCAGTTCAGGAATTTCCCAGGTACTGTTTTCAGATGGAATTCTATTAGGCCGGTGTTCCCCAAAGTGTGGGACCTGAGAATGAGGGGAAAGGAAAGGCGGTCTCTGGGTGGCACACCGTGGAGCCCTGCCATTCTCCTATTTCCCATGGAAAGTTTCCCACTGGTATACACTTGGCATGGGTCGGGGGCAATCAGTTCACGTCATCCACTGGCAAATCCGAGCACCAGAACAGAGTGTGAGTCAAGCCAGGTTCGGTCACGACAAAAACCAGTGCACAATACGGAATGCCAGGGTGATGTTGCCTGTATCAGATGTGACCACAGCACCCAACCAGCACATGTGAGAACCAGGAAGGGAGGGGGCAAAGCCGGCAGGGGGAATATGGGAGGGGGTTCCCTTGCAGCACAGCTACTCTCACTGGAGAGCGTGAGCTGGGATGGGGCAGACCAGACTAAGCAGCGCTACAACACCTGTGCGCCTCATGGGCCTAGATCAGGGAAAAGCCAGGCTGGGCTGATTATTGCTACTGGTGCAAACAAAATTAGAGTGGGTGAGGGTTGTTTGGGCTTAGCTGCAGCATCAGCTGGCAGAAGCTGGCACTGGGGGCGAATTCTGTCAAATCAAACCACAGAACCACCTGGAGAGTGCATAATCCGGGAGTGAGAGAGGCCTGGGAGGGAAATAGTAGGCTCCTCCCTCTTGGGTCATCACTCCCACGGGAGGGCACCACAACTAGGACGGGGCTGGGGTGGCTAGACAGAGAGGCACACAACATCCATGAGGGCTGGACAGTTGAGCTGGTTAGATGGAACTAAGCTTCAATACCCATTGACATGTATGAGAGCTGAACGGGATGTGGGACAGACTGGACTAGTCTGCTACACATACTGCCAACCCAGGGTAGGGGGCGGGCCTGGTGGGGGTTATTGCGGGTCGCTCTCACCAGGCTGCAGCTCCCACTGGTTTATGTGAGGGCCAAGTATGTGCTGGGCAGAACCAGGCTGGACTGCAACACCCGTTGGTTCCAGCGGAAGTCGGGGCTGAAAACAGAACCAACCCAGCAATTACAACCACCAGCTGATGGGGCGATGCCCTGTACCTGCTAGTACATACAAGAATCTGGTCTGGGATTACCTAAGTTTCTTTGGGGATCTCCCCAGTCGAACTGCCGGACTCGGAACCCTAACGAAGAAAACAGAAGGCAGAACAAGTCAATTAACCACCTCAGCTATATGTGGGCAGCGAACTACTGGGCAAACGGAGACTGATGGACTGTGCCAATCAGTGGATTCTTCAACGACTTCATCATGCTTGGAGTGGCGAGACTGGCAGCGATTCATAACTGTTCAACTATCAAAACCACTTGAGCAAGACCCTCGGAGCATGGCGCACATCGGGGACCTGGGGTGGGAAACTGAGCGATACTTCTCCCTCAATATCCGCCTTTACCTCAGGTACATGAAGGAAACAATATGGAAATAATAGTCTTACCCACTTTCCTGTAGCCCTTGAACCTTTTTACCCTAATTTACTATGTAAAGACTGTCAAAAATATAATTTAAAAAATGAAAAAAAAAGATTCTCCTGTTTCAAAGCCTTAGCCGTCGTGGAACGCCAAGTGTGCCTTTGACATGTACTGTCCGTCTCTCCATCCCTCTCGGGACTCGTTGCCATGTTTCCTGCTTACACAGCGACTGTGGAGGCACACAGGCCTGCATGAGGTGAACTCGGCAGTCTTCCACTGCATTTGTAGTTGAGGGCTCCGGGGTTCATTTACATTTCCTCACTTTGCGAACCGACCTATCATAATACCGGGACCCTCACCTCACAGAATTTTTGTGAATAAAAAATGAATTGTTACAGTTACACAGGAAGCTCCCCAAAGCCGTTCAGGGCGTGGAACACACGGCCAAGGTGGACACAGCTGTGCAGCCAAGCCAAGGCCCCTGGACAAGCGAGCCTGTGAGGCGCTCGGCACGCCGCCGAGCCCTGAGGAAGGCCAGCGCCGGCCACGTCCGCCCCACGGCCGGGCCGCGTCCGCTTTCGGCCTCTCTGGGGTCCTCCCGCTGCTGACGAGCCGCTCTCGGCCCCTAGCCGTCCGACTGCCGCCTTACCGAGAGCTGTTGACTCAGCAAAACCCTCTCTGAAGGGAAAGCGCCTGAGCCCGGGAGGAGCGGCTGCACGCGAAGCGGGGGCGGAGCGACGCGCTACGTAAGACGACGCCACGCGCAGGCGGCAGCGCGCACGCGCGGCGTGGAGCGGGAACCAACATGGCGGCCGAACGCAAAACCAAGTTGTCCAAGAACTTGCTGCGCATGAAGGTGCGGGGGATGCTGGGGTAGCCGGGCTGGGAAGCAGGGCACGCGGGTCCTCTAGACCTGTTGAGGGCCGACGGCGGGCGTACCGAGAGCGCCAGAAAGGTTCCGGGCAGCCTTGCCGCTTAGATTCATTCATTCCCTTAGCGCCTGCCCGGCGCTGGGTACTGGAAGCCAAGCATTACCAGTGAGCCAGGCTCGCTCCTGAAGCCCGCACTCCCGAAAAGCAGGCTGTAGGCTTACGGCGTTCTTAGGTGCAGTTTGTGGGAGCGCTGAGAGTAGAAGGCTTCTCTCCGGAAGTGGCTCTGCAAACTGAGGGGTCTGTCTGTAGGACATGGGGAGGCTTGGCGTCCTGAACTGAGGAGAAAGTGAGAAGTCTGAGAGACAAGAAAGAAGCCGAAGAACGTGTCCGGTCGAAAGAGCCTGGAAAGCCGGTAGCAAGAAGTGGGGCTGGAAGGAGACACAACACGTGGGGAGCTGTAGGCTAGATTAGGAATGTTCCTCCCCTATGTCTTACAAGCATTGGGAAGCTGTTTTGCTTGGGACACAGGATCATAAGTTGTTAACTTTTCAAGCTGCCATTGTCCTGTGGAGGTCATATTGGTGGAAGAAAAGTGAGACAAGGGGGGAGAGGGCTGAACTGGAGTCAGAAGGACCAGGGAGAGGTTGTGGTGAGCTGAGTGAGGGACCCAGTAGAGTTGGGAATGGAGACAGTTGTACTATTGAGATGAAAAAAGTGGATGATCTCACCCAAACACAACTTGGGTTTTGGATTTGAAATTGAAGGGATTTTTAGACTTGAAATGGAATCATTTTAACTGTTAATTTCGTAGTCAAAAAGTCAGCAGTCCATAAAAGAAACCCAAGAACTGCCAGCCGCATGGAAATTTGTGGAGCTTTAAAACTGAAGTAATAACAAACATTTACAGTCCCTTTGCCTGTGCCTTGCCAGCTGGGATTTGTGTGTTTTGCATTTATTAATCTATGTCGTGCGCATGATGCATTTCTGAGGTGGCTTCAGTCATCATCCCCCAAAGTCACACAGTGACTTGCACGTGGGCAGTCAGGTCCTGACCCCCTGCTTGTAAATACTATTCTGTACTGCCTGTCACTATTTATTGAGAAATGCAGGCTGTTAAATATTTAGAAAGAGGTGGAATGTGCAAGAAAGACACAGTGTAAATTAAGATTGGATAGTAAGGTGTAAATGTGCAAGGTTTGACAAGGAGCGTTGATGTAGGTTGTGACTAGATGATCAGGTATGTGGATGAGGGTCACGTTGTTGTGTAACTTACAGTCAAACTTCTCGTGTGATTAAAAATCTGAATCTTTACTGAACAAGGTTTTCATTTGGTTGATCATTTGCAGTCATCAGTTTCAGAGAGATGGACTGGTATCTGCTGTCACCTGAGCAGAAGGGTCTGAGACCCCGCTGGCCAGAGGAAGCAAAGGGGAGGGCGAAAACATTACCACGTTCTCTGGGTTAGCAACTTTGGTCACTGGTTAGAAAAAGCTCTTTGGAGGAACAGCAGGAGACACTGTAAATACTGATGGAGGGGAGTGTCCGGTGTGGAGACGTGGAACGGCTGAGCTTAGGATGTCCTTAGAACCTGCGTGACTGATCCGCTGCAGTAAAGTAGCGGTCATGTGTGATAGCTTTGAGTGTTATCCTGACTCACTTGATTTTGATATTTGTAAACTCTTCTGACTAGGTTAACTTTTAGAGGGAGGAGGATCATCACAGGAGGTAGAGAAAGCATGTGGAAGGATGGTCACTAGTATTGCCCAGTGATTGTAGCGAGGGTGTCATCCGTGATTTTAACACTATGGACTCTTAGAACAAGACTTGGTGAACTTTTTCCCTGAGGGATCAGATAGCAGATATTTTACATACATGTAAGCCAAGCCAAATGAGAATGGCTATGTTACAGAAAAACTTTATTTACAACACAGACATGCAGGTTGCTGTGGGCCCTGGGCTCTGAGTGGTTTCTAAATTAACAGCTTTAGAGTATCATCTGAGATGCTGCAGTCAGAAGAAGCATGACTCATGTTCACAGGGTATTCTTTCCTTTCCAAATATACAGAATGTGTGCGCGTTTGTGTATGTGTCTAAAAAAAAACCTACTTTTTTATTAGAATGGGAGATTTAAAAAATCGGTTGATCAGAATTGGTGAGTATTATTTTGTGGAGATGTAGGTAAGGGGATTATTTATTTAAAAACGGAGTTACAGAGAGAGAAGGAGGGACAGAAAGATCTTGCATCTGCTGGTTCACTCCCAAGAGGCCACATCAACCAGAGCCAGGGGCAGGAGCATCCTTCAGGTCCTCCATGTGGATGGCAGCATCCAGGGACTCGGGCCATCTGCTGCTGCTTCTCCAGGCACACCAGCAGGGAGCTGGATTGGAAACGGCAGCCGTGACTGAAACCAGCACCCACATGGGATGCTGGTGCTGTGGGTTAAAGATTTATTTTTCTTGGAAAATAAAGACAGAAGATCATCCGTCCACTGATTTACTCCCCAAGTGGCTGCAACGGCCAAAGCAGAGCCAATCCAGAGCCAGGAGCTTTTTCCAGGTCTCTCACACAAGTGCAGGGTCCGTAGGCTTTGGGCCACAAGCAGGGAGCTGGATTAGAAGCAGGGCTGCTGGGACACGAACTGGTGCCCAAATGGGATCCCTGTGTGTATAAGGTGAGGACTTTTGCCACTAAGCTACTGTACCGGGCCCAGGGTTAATGAATTTTACCACTAAGGATATGAGTGATAAAATGAGACCTCTGCATTATGAAGAAAACCATCCATGAAAGAGAACCTGGAAAATAAGACAAACACAGACTCATTTACTTCCAGAAAACTATAATTGAACTCTTCCTGTATACCAGGTACAGCCTAAATAGCAATAATACAAGATGAATGAGAGTGCTTACACTGATTTTGTTTTGTTTTAACAGTTCATGCAAAGAGGATTGGACTTGGAAACCAAGAAACAACTTGAAGAGGAAGAAAAGAAAATCATTAGTGAAGAACACTGGTACTTGGATTTGCCAGAGCTGAAAGAGAAAGAGTAGGTTTGTTAGGCACTAAAGATGCTTGGGACATTCAGAGGGAAATCCTTGGCACGTGACACAGCATTCCAGTGACAGAAGCCCCACGAAGAGCTTCTTTTCAGTTTCTTCAGTCAACCTCATGGCATTTTTACTGAGCCACAGCCATTATTTATATTGAACAGAGAAATCTAGCCCGTATGTCTGCTAACAGGGGTGCTTTCAGTAGAAGCTAGACTGCATTCTCTCCTCTCGCACAGAGGTTAGGTGTGTGCTTCAGTCCTCCAGGGTTACTTCAGTGAGAACGTACCAGGCTGAACATCTTGAGACTGGTTGGGAATGTTTTGTTTTTTGTTAACTGTAAGTAGTTTTAATGCCACTCATCTTAGCTAACATATGCTTGGCCCTTGGTGATTGAATTCTGACAGCAGGCCTCACACCTGCCCATCAAGCAGCCCTGTATGGTTTTGAACCTGAGGAGTCTGACTTGCTCCATCACCCTACTGCTCAGAGCTGAGGCTGGGGTAACGCCCGACTGTCTCTTCCACCTCCAAACCTTGCTGGTGCCTGCTTCAACTGTTAATTCATTTAACTTCTGAAAACTATTTCACTTGTATCTTTGGTATTGTTCTCTCCTTACTAAACTCTGCTATGGGAAAACAGGTGTTTTCAGTTCTCATCAAATGACGGGAAGCTTCCTGTTATCCTTAGGCATATTTTTCCGTCCTCTCTGTACCTGCTAGTTTGGCTTCTGTTTTCACATGTTACATTCCCTCGTTCATTTGGCTGACCTTCTGTGGACCTTTTTTGGAAGGTTACATATCCTTCTCCAAAGATGGAAAACAAATCTCACCAGGAGGGATAAAAGGAAGTTGCTTGTTTTTCTCTACTTTTCAGAAGAAGCAAATGTTGGCTAGGAAGAAGAGTAGCATACCAGAGGTATTATGGAGTGAGGGTCACTGAGGAGCAAGGATCATTACTAGTATGGAACTATAATTTTGTGCCTGTCCAAAACTCAGAAGTATTCCAAGTGCCTGTTGAAGGTCAGGACTGTTAGCCAATAACACAGCATATTCATAGAAAAATTACCTCCAGACTCCTTTGTTGGAAAAGCAAATAATAACTTCTTGCCAACAGTCACCATCCTGTTTGTGTATAGATGTGTATGTTAGCTCAAGATGTTGTCAGGAAAAGGTAAGGAAAGCCAACAGCCTAACAAGATGTGTGCAGGTAAGAATACCCCAAGGAACAGTGAGTGCCTAGTGGGAGTCATTGCAGGCCTGGAGGGTCAAGGAGAGGGAGTGGTTACTGACTCTGAAGACCAACTGTGGAAAGAGCGTCTTGAGAGAGTTACTGCCCTCTCCCAAGGACAGAGCCAGCCCCAGGTAGTTAATCTACAGGAAGGGAGCCAGGAACCCGAAGGCAGACAAGCCAGTCAGTGTAATACCTTCAGGTCGCCTTCCCAGGGCTTAGACCGGGGTAGCACACTGGAAGCAGACCTGTAAGCAAATGGGTCATCTGTGTCTGGTGTATGTATGTGTTGGTGTATTTAACTCCCCAAATAGGAAGGAAAACAGTGGAGTGAAATTGGACTCTAGTCAGGCCGACCTGGGTTTGATGCCCTGTTCTGTCACTTGCTTGTCACCTTGGATGAATTACTTAACTTGTCTTTTGTCATTTTTATATTGGGCATAATAGCAACCATCACATACATTATGGAAAGCAAATGAAATAATGTATGTAAAGCAGTCACACAGTGCCAAGCATAATAAATGTTGGCAGTAATGGAGTCGTGTGTCACTTAACAATGGAATGCGTTCTAAGAAATGCATCGTTAAGGCCATTTGGCCATGTGTATATTATGGAGTATACTTAACACAGGTTAAAAGGTCCACAGTCTCACTCAGCAGTATAATCTTATGGGGTCACTATCTATATGCAGTGTATCAACTGAAACATTATATGATATGTGGCTGTGTTCCAGTATATGGAGCTCACCGATTCCTTTGTGCTAATTTATGCTTGTGAATCTTTGCTTCCTCGTGGTATCTGAACTATTTCAAAGGGTTAGTGCCATCTATAATTGCACGCTTCATATGTACAAGTTTGTGTTCCCAAGTCTAGAGGTTCCTTTTCATTTGGGTGGCAGAGAGACAGAGACATTCCATCCACTGGTTCACTGAACAGATGCCTGTTACAAGCTGGGTAGGTCAGCCTGAAGTCAAGAACCGGGAATTCAATTTGAATCTCCCACGTGAGTAGCAGGTACTCAACTACTTGAGCCATTCATTATCTGCTGCTTCTCAGAGTGCAAATTGACAGCAACTGGACTGAACAGAGCAGAACTCCAAGCCAGACACAGAAGTGGGCTTGTGGAATGCAGACTTCCCAAGCAGGGGTGATTGAATCGGTGGTCCAGATTGTTTTAAAATATCAGGCTGGATGTCTTTTCCCTCTCCTTTCATGAGGCACCCCACCTTGACCTCTGGATTTCTCAGAAGGTGCTTTCACTTTTCCTCTTTCCGTTCCCCACTCCCCTGATCATTTCGCAAATAAACTTTTCTGTCTGGAAAAAAAAACAAAACAGGCTAATCAGACTGCAATTCATTTGTGATTACTTGCTTTTTTCCTATTAACACTTCCTGACAGGGGCCACAGGTAGTGACTCCACCGTGAAGGGGAAGGGAAGTTTGGCGGCCTGACCTGCGCTTGAAACAGCTGAGGGAATTTCCTGGCTCAGACCTTGTAGGTGGCGACAGCCTTGGGGCTGCCATGTTGCAGGTTCACATCTCCTGCCTGATCTGCCATCCCCATCTGTATCCAGAGAATCCAATTTTGGTGTTTTGAATGTAACCTTTTTTTTTTTTTTAAGTAATCAAGGACTAAGATTAGTTTTTACTGTTTCATCAATTTTATGTATATGAAGCTGCTTTTTTTCTTTTTTGATCTCAGAGCTGATAGTGAAGAATAAGAATGCTACTAGTCTGATATTAAGCACCGTTCAAATTTGTTTTTAGTTTTTTGTTGTTTTTTCACTGTTCTAATTTATATAGAGATTTAATTCTACTTCTACCTAATTTTGCATTCCACAAATGTCAACACAGTGAAAGAGTCAGCATCTTACTGTTACTGTGGAAATAATTTTTTGGTCCTGTGGCTGTCCCTGCCCTTCAGCTGCAGAGGCCTCCTGGTGTCGCAGGCTGCCCGGATCGCGGTCCCCCAGGTGTTCTTCATGAGAAATCGCCGTGTTTTGTGTGTCCATTGCCTGTTTTTTGTTCAAATGTAGCCCCATCAAAGACAACCAACCAAACCACTCTTTACAACAAAGGCGCTCTCTACTCTCCTTAAACTGCCAGGGAGGAGGAGAGGATTGAAGAGAGTGTTTTTAGTCAGCAGAATACAGTTGAATAAATAGTTGTATGTTTTTATAGTGCATGCATTTTTTGTAAGCCACACCCCTGACAAATAGAGGAATGTGTCATGACAAAGATCCCGTTTCCATTGTCACCCCTCCTGAGGCAGGTGCTGCTCCGTTTCTCACTAGTGATTGGTTTTGTCTCACACTTTTAACTTTACATAGAAGTACACATTGTGCAGTCTGTACTTATTTGTGTCAGCAGAATGCTTTTAAGGTTCATCCCTATTTTGAAGTATCAGTAATTTATTTATATGGCTATTTTTTGGTAAGATTTAATTATCTGAAATACAGGGTTAGAGAGGTCTTTCATCCACTGTGCTACCCTCTCAGTGGCTGCAGCAACCAGGGGCCAGGCTAAAACCAGGTGTCCGGAACTGCATCCAGATGTCCTAGCTTGGGGGCAGGAGCCCAAATACTTGGGTCACCTATGCTGCTTTCCTAGGTGCTTCAGCAGGGAGCTGGTTTGGAAATGAAGCAGTCAGCACTTGAACCAGCCCTCAGATGGGATGGCCAGGTTGAAGCCAGGAGCCTGCAGTGCCGTCTGTTTCCCAGCTGAGTTACAGGGGCCAGAGCGCTTGGGCCATCCTCAGCAGCTTTCCCACGTGCATTAACAGGGACCTGGATTTGAAGTGGAAGAGCTAGGACTTAACCAGCACTCGTTTGAGATGTAGGCATTATGGAAAACAGCTTAACTGCACCGCAACATTGGCCTATTATTTTACAGGTCAACCCCATGTGTGACTCCCTGCTGCAGCATGCTGACCTCTAAATCCCGAGCAGCTTGTAGTCCCAGCCTGCAGTTTGTCTCTTGAGTTCAGCAGTGCCTTGCTTTCTTCAACTCCCCATCCCTGCTCCAAGGTCTGAAAGTTACCTGCAGGCACAAAGCTGTACATCCACGGGCTCACTGCTTTGCATTTGCTTCTCATCTGTCTTCAGATTGTTCATTGTCTGGAAAGTACTGTTTCTTATCCTCCCCTAGTTTAGAGTTGGTTATGGAAAGGAGGAGCTCAGTATCAGTGCTTCCTTCTGAACAAGAGTGGAATAGTCTGCTCTGCTGCTCTCTGTTGCCGTGTTTCATTTGTTATATGTCGCCACTCCATTGTAGTGTTAGCGGGAAATGATGAGACGAGTCTGGGTCAGCATCCTGGTGTCAGTGAGAATTTATGAGACCAGACACAAAGGTGCAAGTTTCATTTGAGTTGAAAACGGAGAAGTTCCTCCACAATGTGGATGAAAAAGACTCCGCTGCTGAGGTCTTCAAGTCTAGGCATATTTGTTTCTTTAACATGTCATCTTCAGAGAGCAAATGTGATGGTTATGCTGCGGGAATAGTCTTTTTTTTTTTAGGAAGTGAGATGTACACAGAGGAGGAGAAACCAAGAGGAAGATCTTCCATCCATTGAGTAACTCCCTGTGCAGCTGCAACAGCCAGAGCTGGGCCGATCTGAAGCCACAGCCTGGAGCCTCTTCCGGGTCTCCCATTCAAATGCACGGTCCCAAGGCTTTGTTTGAGCTGTCCTTGACTGCTTTCCCAGGCCACAGGCAGGGAGCTGAATGGAAAGCAGGGCCACCAAGATTAGAACCATTGCCCATATGGGATCCCGGGCAAGCAAGGCGAGGACTTTAGCTGCTAGGCTACTGTGCTGGGCCCCAGGAGTAGTTTTAATGGAGCCTTTTTTACTTTGCTCTTACCAAAACCTGAATCTTTTTTTTTTTTTTTTTTAAGATTTATTTATTGGAAAGGTGGATATCCAGAGAGGAGGTGAGACAGAGAGGAAGATCCTCCATCTGATGGTTCACTCTCCAAGTGAATGGCAATGGCCAGAGCTGAGCCAATCCAAAGTCAGGAGCCTGGAGCCTCTTCCGGGTCTCCCATGTGATTGCAGGGTCCCAAAGCTGTGTACCATCCTCGACTGCTTTCCCAGGCCACAGGCAGGGAGCTGGTTGGGAAGCGGGGCTGCTGGGATTAGAACTGGTGGCCATATGGGATCCTGGTGCGTTCAAGGGGAGAAATTTAACCACTATGCTATCGCACTGGGCCCCAAAACCTGAATCTTATAGACTTCCATCCTCTTTGCTTCAGTACATGTGTGCTGACAAGGAGCTGTGGGATGGAGCTCGTCTGCCTGCTTCTAGTCCTGGGCTGCCTCGGTAGTCTGAGAGCAGAGAGTGTCCTGGTCTGGCTGCTCTAGAACAGTGTCTGTACACGGTTGTGTTTAGAAGTGTTTGCCAACTGAGTGAGTGTTGATAAGCAGCAGCAAAGGCTCCCTACGAGAGGGTCCTTACAGGAGGCCAGATGTGTGCTCTGGTTGCGTGTAACCTGCAGCAGACCAGACAGACAGGCTCACTTCACATCCGAGGTCATGAACTGTGAGTCAAGCAAGTATCTTCTGTAGCAGGTGACCCATGTGCCCAGGGCAGCAGTGGCTGCTCCAGCCACCAAGCCAGGTGGCACTTGCAAGGGTGATTATAAGCCTGGAGTTACTTTTGGCTCAGACACCTGCCTAGTTTTCCTAGTGTCCTCCAGATTTCACAGTATCCTAAACTTGAATTTCTTTTCTGCATCATTCGGGCAGGGTCAGTGTTCCGGGTCCATAGCTAAGCACTCCGACAAGTGCAGTCTGGTAAGGCTGCCCAGGCCCGATTTCCCACTGGCACACGTGAATGTTAATTAGAACTTTGGGAGGTGCCACAGTAAATGTCAAACGGATGTTTTGCTTTGGCGTTAGGAAATGCAAGTTGATTATAAATGCTTTACATCTTTACATTGTGTAACTATTTATGGAAAATAAATGTAGTGTTTTAAGGAGGCTGTGCTTCCTACCTGCAGCTCTCCTACCCTGTCAGCTTTGCTGGCCAAATTAATCAGATTTTATCTCTAACTCTAGGTGAGGCGGCATCTTGTATTCTTGTTTGATTCTGCTGAGAGCCTTAACATTGATTTTTTGTTCAAAGTCTTGACCTTGTTTGCTGTGTTTTGTTATAAGTCAAGACACTGTTATTAAAGGTCTGCTTTCCTGTTTAGGAGTTACATAATAGAAGAGCAGAGCTTCCTGTCGTGCGAAGATCTTCTCTATGGAAGAATGTCATTCAGAGGATTTAATCCTGAGGTTGAGGTATTAAATATAATTGCTTAAACTTTAAGTTTTTCCGTTGAGTTTTTTGTAATAATTGGGCTGAGATTTTTTTTCCCACCAGGTACCATTTCTCTTCATTATATAGAAAATAACAATTCTTGAAATATTGCCATAGCTATTTAAAGAAATTGCAGGCATTGCAGTTTAGTTTTATGATAGAATTGAGTAGATAATTTAATATGGCAGTGTATGGTCCCTAATGGTGCCAATGTGTTAGAATTTCAACTGGAGTCTTTTACAGGAATGTTGAAATTTTATTCATATGGTGCTATTATGAGAAGTTATTTTCTGGCATTTATAAATGTATCTTTTCTAATGGAAAAATGTTACTTAAAATTGTATAATTTGACTTTTTAATGGACAGGTTTTAATCCAAGTTCATAAATAGACTTTTAAATAAATCCTTTGGAAAGTTTGCATGAAAAGTGAATATTCATTTTGTAACTGAACTGTTCATTTGAATTTTCTTGCCTCGGGTTTGTAGAGAAAAAGCAGACCTTTATTTAACAAATATTTCTTTGAACTGTAGCTCAGATATTAAAAGCCATCTTATCAGATGTTTGACCCACCAAATAGACATTTGTCATGTAAAGTTTGGGTTTCATAAACATGACTTGAAGCCAAGATTGGCATTTGGAGCATTTCATAGTATGGCTGCCCTTGGCCTTGTGAGGTTATTAACAGTATCCCTGGCTTTTGTGACCCACTCCGCAAAGGCCAGTAGAGCACACATACCCCTCCAACCCAGGGTGGAAACAAACACGAGCCCATGCACTGTCACAGGTCCCTGTTAAGACAGTGCTTCTCTAGGATTCCTGTAGAAAATGACAGTTTATGCTCTAGATTTGTGGGGTTTTTTGTGTTGTTTTGTTTGCTTTTGTTGGTTGTTTTTGTGCACCGTCTGATTCTCTCCCCAAATGGGGAGTGAGTCCAAGTTGAGCACATCCAAAGCCAAGAGCCAGAAGCTTCCTCCAGATCTCCCGTATGAGTGCAGGGTCCCAAGGGTCCAAACCATCCTCCACTGCTTTCCCAGCCCAGAAGCAGAGAGCTGAATTGGAAGTGGAGTAGCAGGGACATGAACCAGTGCCCATATGAGATGCCAGCGCTTGATAGGCAGAAAATTATCCAATTAAGCCATTGTGCCAGCCTCTGTTGTAGAGTTGATCTAAAGATTGTAGCTTTCTTTTCTTTTTTTCTTTTCTTTGGGGAGGTGGCGGGTAGGGTGTGGTGATAAGTGAAGGCAGGACAATGTATAATGATTTAAGATATAGAAAGTAAGTTTACATTACGTTGATATTGCATACATTTGTTTTTATTTATTTAATTCAAGATTTGCTTATTTGTTAATTTTAAAGACATACAGAGAGAGAAGTCTTCATATGCTGGTTCACTCCTTAGTTGGCCACAACAGCCGAGTCTGGGCCAGGCCAAAATCTGAACCCAGGAGCTTCTTGTTCTCACACATGAGTACAAGGAGCCAAGTACTTGGGCCATTCTCTGCTGCTTTCTTTGGCAGTTAGCAAGGAGCTTAATCAGTGGAGCAGCTGCTACTCAAATCGGTGCCCAAAGGAAGGCCAGTATTGCAGGCAGCTGCTTAGTTCACTACACCACAGCTGGCTCCTACATGTTTGTTTTTAGTATACACCACGTATTACTCAAATTCCCATGATTAGATCTAAATATTTGACACAGGCTACTTGGGAAGAAAGGTTTTTTAGCTCATGGTTTTGGAAGTTTACAACCTAAGACTGAGTGACCCCTTTGGTGAACCCAAGGATGGCAATGACAGAAAACACATAAACAAAAGGTGATGACCTAGTGAGCCAGCAGAGAGCGCACTAGGCCCAGCTCAGAACCTAGGCTCGTAGAATAACTAACTTCATCTACCAAAACTACTTTTCCAGGGACACACTGCCAGTGACCTTGGGATTCTGCATGGAGCCTTCTGTGAAATATGCTGGATCGAGTCTCTACCCTCCCAGCTCCACTAATCATGTCTTCGGGGATTCATGAGTTTGGGGTCTAACTGCAGAAGCTTTTCCTGCTTTAAGGTCTGGTTAGCAATATAGGAGAGTGGTGGAAGGAAAACATGGATGTGCAGTATCCACAGAAGGAGGATCTAAGATGGTGGGCAGACACTCCAATGTGTGCCTGGTAGCAGGGAGAAGAGCAGCAGCATGTGAGAGGTTACTGGAAAATGGTCTTTACTGGATTCTGAAACCCCAAAAACATTGTATTTTCAGTGCTATCAATGTTGGAAAAACAACAAGAGTCTGATTTCTCATCTGCCTCCCTTTCTCAGCCTCCCCTTGCTATGAAGAAGGTATAGTACATTGACAAAAGGAAGCATCCATCAGAAAATAACTGTCTCAAAAAGGTTAATGCAAGAGGTACAGGAGGGATTTGTAATACTTGGACATGATGTGGGATACAGAATCCACCCCCAAAGTGTGGGACATTAAGCTAAGGTTGCCTCCTTGATACCAGGGCCAGCCTTGCTGTGCTTCATTCTGATAGTTTTGTTGTCTGCTGCCCTTCCTGCCACCATCACCACCAGAATATGGGTGTAAAACTACTTTGGGGCCTGGCACAATGACCTAACGACTAGAACCTTGCCTCGCAAGCGCCAGCATCCCATATAGGTGCCAGTTCGTGTCCTGGCTGCTCCACTTCCCATCCAGCTCTCTGCTTATGGCCTAAGAAAGCAATGGAGGGATGGCCCAAAGCCTTGGGACCCTGCACCCACGTGGGAGACCCAGAAGAAGCTCCTGGCTTTGGGTTGGCTCAGCTCTTGCCATTGCAACCACATGGAAAATGAACCAGCAGACAGAAGATCTTTGTCTCTCCTAGATCCTTCTGTCGCTTCTCTCTTTGAATCTGATCTGCCTTTTCAACAAAAATAAATAAATAAATACTTTGGACAGTAGTGTCTGTTTTTGATTCAAAGATGAGAGGTTTAAAGGAAATCTGGAAGTTTAGTTTTTCTTCCCTTCCTCACTCGTCTACATTAGAAGTGTGCACACTTTGGATATGAGTTAACTACTGAGAGTTGTGTTCTGAAGCAATTTAAATTCTGTTACACCAAGGCTAGTCTAATCGTGCTTTGTCTTAATGTTTCTGTTAACATTGTGGTATAAAGTATTTTAAATTTTGACTCATCCCCCTGTTTCTGACACAAGTTTCTTTGACAGACCTTTTGTAGTTCTGATGGACATCATTGGTGTATTTTTCAGAAATTAATGCTTCAAATGAATGCCAAGAACACAGCAGAAGAAGTTGAAGATGAAACGGTGGAGCTTGATGTATCAGATGAAGAAATGGCTAGAAGGTAATGGTTCTCCTGGAATAGCTTTATAACCTAAGCCTGACACTCACGGACCCCCTAGTATCACACTCTGCACGGCCTCGCCCTGCTCAGTGGGATTCGCACAACGCAGACTGGCAGCTGAGGGCTTGTTTGCACTGCTGCTTCCCATTGTTTTAAAATGTGCTTCTCAGGTTATTTAAGATACTGCACAACAGAAATAAAGTAAATATAGTTTTCAGAGAGATCATAAGTTTTTCAGGCAGATTTTTTTTTCTGATCATGGTTTTTATTTTTCTTACTCTTCATTAGACGTGGTTTGATATTCTTCACCAGGCTTGACTTCCTCTTACATTACTTAAAATTAAACTTGTGCTGTGCATCACCTTAACAGATATGAGACCTTGGTGGGAACGATTGGAAAAAAGTTTGCCAAGAAGAGAGAGCGTGCCAATTATGAAGAAGATGAGAATGGAGACATGAAGCCCATCAAAACAAAAAAAATGTTCCTGAAGCCCCAAGATTGAAGTGGACACCCCAAGTTACAGCTCAGGGAGCACCTCACCTGGGGACTCTTCTGGTGGTGTGTCTATGGTGATTCATACTGCAGTATTTATTGGTGAAGAGATGTGTCATGTTTTTGAAAACATGCTGTTTTTGAGACACTTGTAGTGGATGTCATACATCCTTTTCTCAGTGATGTTCATCACGAGCAGGTCCCTGACCCTCGGTCTTGCCGCATCCATAGGTACTGGTTTCCTGGAGGATTTTTTTTTAACTTCAGATTCTTTGTTTAATGTAGTTCTCCAGTGCCTGCCCTTGAATTGACTGATAGACTTTGCTACCAATATTTATGTTTTATGTTATTAATCATGTGAAGTCAGTTCATACATACATTTTAAAATCAATCTGTTATTTGTAAAATTATTGAAAACAGCTTCTCCATCCTGTAGAATTTGTATGCTGCCAGGTCATTGTTAGTTTATGCTGGAAGGAGTTTTGTTTAAAGCATTTAATATAAAATTCGGTGTGTAATAAATACCTATTTTCACATTTTATATTTTCTTTTATGGAATCATTTTAGTTAAATTCAGTTATGTAACTGAAGCCCAGATGGTCACTTTATAAAGCCAGCCATCAACCAATATTATGGTCCATGAGATTGAACCATAAGAGCTTACCTTTTATGGGTCAAAACAATCGTTAATTTCTTAAGATAAGCCTAGTAGAATTTACCTCTGAGCAGACTATCCTGTCATGAAGCCTGAATTAATATGTGTGTATGTATTAATATGTATGTATGGCAATCACTGACATGCCTGACTTTGGCCCCAGCAAATGACATGTGTGTGTCTCTTCTACTCCAGTCTCTGCAGACTTCGGATTTTAATTTTAGCCCTCTGACAAGTTGAGAAAAAGTTAGACATTTGAAATTAATCTGACTTTCATTTCGAGAGTGACAGCCATGTACCTTGCATTCAGCCCTTCCTGTCCTGAAACAGTAACTGGAAGCCCTCTGCCATGCCTTCCAACACCACTTATCTTTGACCTGATTAGAGCTATATGTGCCCTCGTGATGTCCTGCCTAGCATAACTCCTGAGATCTGAATGCATGTCACCATAAAGAAAGTAGGGCAGTGGCTTTTGCCTCTGGAATTCACTGATCTTGTCATAGCATCCCCGACCCACACACATTCCCCGGGGAATATTAGGATAGTGAACTGGTATACTCAAGGCAATTATGGCTCTAGACGTACTTACATAGAATGTAAATTTCGCTTTAAATAAGGAACTGCTCCATGGGGCTGGTGCTCTTGGTTAGAATGCATGGTCTGGAATCAGGCAGAAGTGGACAGAGTAGCTCCTCTGCTCATCTTACTGTTAGACCCAACAGAGAATGCAATGCAGTGATTTGCTTGCTGCCTGCATTGATGGAATCCCAAGAAAACGGTGCTGTACTTCCTCCCAGGGATTTGACCATGGTCCTATTAAGACAGAATTTGAAACTGTTCTTTTAGTTCTAAGTCTGTAGACAAGGGAGCTTTTTCTCTTGGCTGTACAAATGCAGTGAGCAAAGAACAGTGACTGGAACTCGGGATTCTCCAGGGTAGTATTTCCATGTCCGGTAATAAGATATTGATGAAAAATTAACCTAAAGGATGGGGATGGTTTAGAAATAACCCTTCAGGCAGTGAAATTTTAGGATGCCCTAGCAGATTCAAACCTTAAGAACCTGAGGTCCTCGCTGAGGGAAATGGACACGTGGAACGTGCAGGGGGAGACTTGGGTGTGTTGGGCAGTGCCTTGTGACTGCCCAGTTACAGAAACAGCTGCAAGAACAGCGCATGCTTCCTTTCTTCCTTGGCAGGGTTGTAGGTCCCGATTCCCACTTCCACTTTTTACTTCATGTTTGTGGAGGTAACTTTACCATCTAGTTTTTTATTTTCCTTTTCAAAATTATTTTATTCATTTGCAAGGCAGTGACAAAAAGGGCAAGTGAGATTTTTTTTACATTTGTTGGTTGGATCTCCAAGCAACCACAATGGAAAGAGGTATGCCAAGCTGAAACCAGGAGTCCAGAACTCCCATCTGGGTCTGCTTGGACCATCCCCTGCTGCCTTCCAAGCACAAACACACTCCAGTGTGGGATGCCAGCATTGCAAATGGAAGCTCAACTTGCTGCACTATGACCTTGACCTTGGGCCCTTGTTATTTTTTTTCTCACAATACAGTTCTGCAGGCCCAGGGATTTCCCTTTTCACCTTCTCCCACCTTTGCCTCCACCCGCCCCCCCCCCCATTGTTTTCCCTATATTATAACAATAGTATAGTTACTTAGTCTTAAAATAAGAATGTTCAGGGACCAGTGCTGTGACATAGCTGGTAAAGCTCCCTGCAACACCAACACCCCATATGGGTGCCAGTTTCAGTACTAGCTGTTCCAATTCTGATCCAGCTCCCTGCTAATAATGCACTTGGGAAAACAATGATGACCCAAGTCCTTGGGCTCTGCTGGAACCTTGGGTATTTATTTGAAAGAAAGGGTAAAAATATCTTTGGTATAAGTGATATATGCAGTTTGTGAAGGAGAAATAGAGTTGATTATTGTTTCAGGGACTTGAATTATACTTAGCTGTGCTCAGTGGATGCCGAGGGACCCAAGGGGTAGGCTGCCTCATGAGATGTTGTCCTTTGCAGTCTGGGTCCCTCTCCAGTTGCATCTTTAGCTGCTGACCTGGGACTTAGCATACCTTGTTTATCTTCTTCATACTGGCTTCTTACAGGATCTGCCAGTGGACACCCCGAGGCTGATGCTAAGCCACAGGAGGAGGCCTGTTCCTTTGTCACCATAGAAACACCTCAATCTGGCAGAGGCTGATCTCAAGGTACCCCAGTTTGCTCCTCTCCCACCACCACTGAATCAGCCGTCCATCATCCATAGCACCGAGTATCTCGTGGCCCTCCAATCTCAGGGCCACTGCAGTTTCATGTCAGAGGTCTGAGTCTACCCTCTGTCCAAGCTTCTGAAATTTAACTGTCTAACCTGTTTCCTCAAAGTGAATTTTTTTTTTTTGGCATGTGCTTTGTGACGATACATTATTTCCTCTTGCCTGTCAGAACACTTCCACTTCCCCACACTCAGCGAGCAAAGATTTATCATGAAAATTAGAAGGGTTTTATCAGTCTCTTAGAGTTTACGGTGTGACCCTGCCCACTCCCTACAGGAACATCCTACAGAAACAACTTATTTATTAAAATTGTTTTGTGGTTCTTTCACTTCCCTATAAGACCCTAAGCTGCTCACTACACGATAGTTTTTTATTTTAATTTTAAATTACAAATGCCATTTACCCATATTCATTACCTGTTTGGCTCTTTAGTCAAAGAAATCATTTGTACAGGAAAAATACCACTTTTCAGAACAAACCCATTTTACTTCATATAGTTTTCCTTTCTCTTATTTTCTTGAAGGTCCAATGTCTTTATTTGCCCCTGGGGGAGCTGAGGAAGGTACATATTGAGTTCCAAGACATTTGTAAATAAGAGTCTCTGGACTCACTGTGCAGAGTTGCACTGCTTACCTGAAGGCATGTTTGTCCTGGATGGCATCTCTGACTGATAGCTCCTCCATCGGCATTGTCTGATTGGGAGCAAACCCTGCCTGCCACAAGCAGCAGCGATGACCCTACACGGTTGCAAAACCGCAGCAGAGCCAAACATGACTGTTCAGGAGGTGAAGGCGACTGTCTTCTAGAAATTGGCAGGTTTCCACCACCCCTCCCACCTCTTTGATGATTGTCACTGATGTGTATTTCATCACCTGTGACACTCGGGTCAGGTGGATGCTCCCCTTGAACCTGCACCTCTCTGTTCCCTTCTCAGAGTCTCCTTTGACCACAGTGGGATAACTACAAGTCAGACAAGAGTACAACATAGGAACAAATCTGCAGCTCAGACTGTAGCCCAGATTCCAGAATCCTCTGATACCCTGAACTTGGCAGGAGAGTGGAGCACAGAGCCACTGTCACCTGGCTGCTGTCCTGAACCTGGATTAGGTATTGAATCGCAGTGGGAACAGAGAGTGGGGCCAAGATGTTACCTGGAGGGAAATGTGGCAAGATTCCAAGTACCTTGAGACCACAGCCAGTAAGTTCTAAGTGGTTTGCTAATGAACCAATGCATAACTGAAATGCCAGCCTGGAAGTCTTTGTCAATGTTACGTGTGTAAGGCATAGTCTCACTTCTGTGTCTACTGAGTTTGAGAAGCTTTTTAAAATCCCCTGCAAATATAACCCTCCCACACACTAGCCCTGTGAATTGGATGACAAGCAGTGGAAGGGGTTGGGGGGGCCAAGAATTTCACTGAATCGGGATAAATATGTAATTTGAGACAAATTACAGTAAAGATATCGCCAGAGAGGAATTTTAAGGGAAGAAAAATAATCCGAGGATGTTGAAGTTGTGGCCAGCCTGCTTTGCTCATGCTTGTGTGAGATGGGTTTGTTCACAGCTGACTTCTGGAGAACTTCAATGGGACTTGGCCGCTGCCCTGCTGATTCTGGGAGGGTTTTCAGAAATTACAAGACTGATGTTGCTGTGTCCTCTCCAGCAAAAGTGAAAGGGCAAGTGAGGGCTCCCACAGAAATAAAGCAGGAAACCCTGGTCAGCAGTCTCACTGGTGATCAAAATAAAGTTCAGAAGATCCTGGGGTCCAAGCCTGGGGTAGTGGGGAGTTTGGAGAAAGCCTACAGCATCCACTGGTTGATAGTTATTGCCACATCAGAAATGAGGTACAGTCAACAATTATACTTGGGGGAAATGGAGCACAAGAAGTGCCTGGTGTCTCCCTGATTGCTCACAAATAAAGACGTAGCAAAGAGCAAGAAAGCCACTAGATAGATGCCAATATTTCAAATGTAGGAGGAAGTTATCACTGTAAAGCTAGGAAAAGCTTTCTTGGATATGAATTATGCATGTTGGGAGCTCGGTGATTTCAATACTTAAAGTGTCAGGATTAGTACTTTTTTCCAAAAATTATACTCTGTTAAATCAATTCTTACTGTAAAAAAGGGAATATGAAGCAACTTCCTCTTCATTTCCCTGTTGAAGAGTAAACTCATTCTTAAGAAGAATAGCAGAGTTTTTTCTTCACTGAACTTCCCAGGAAAAGGGAGCCAAGAAAGAGATGAGCTTCAAGCTGAAAATTTCAACAGCGTTAGAACCCTTTCAAAAATGTCAGGAATTAATTTTCACTTTTCTTCTTTGCCCTTGAAGCTCTGTCAACCGGAGAAAAGAATTGGTGCTGTTTTTCTGCCAGTGTTAAATTAGACTTTGCATGCAAAGGTGTATGCATACTGTGTTAAGTCTGCTGTGCACTCTGTAAATGTCTGACCCACAAAATCATAAAAGCTGGGTTTTTCCAAAGTCATGAGTTCTGAGCCCAAGCACAGCACTCTGGAAGTCTCTGTGGGAACAACCAGTATGTCAACATGCCGGAGCTGACATCAACACACCCATCATCCCGGAAATGGGACAGACCTTAAGTATGTGTTTCCCAC